TGGGCACCAGTGGCTTATGTCTGTAATCCTAGCTACTCAGGATACCAAGATCTAAAGGATCAGGGTTCAAAAGCCAGTCCAAGCAAGAAAGTCTGTGACACTGTTATCTCCAATTAACTACCAAAAAGCTGAAATTGCAGTGGTAGTTCAACTGGTAGAACACTAGCCTTGAGCAAAAAAGCTCAGGGACAGTGCCCAGGCCCTGAATTCAAGCCCCAGGACTAGGGGAAAAAAATCGGTATGTTTGGTCAAGAGATAAAAACACTGAAAGACTGATACAACTGTCAGACTGTCCTCCAAATAGGTTACCAAATAGGTTACTATCCTTCTACTAATAATGTATGAACATGTTTATTTTCCCATATTTTTGCCAGTAGCAAAAAATCAGATTAGAGGAAAATTTTCATTCTGGTTTTTTACTAGTAATCCTGTTTTATTGACCACCTGTACTTTTGTGAAGTCTATTCAAAACTTTCATCCATCCTCATTTTCTAGCAGATATATAATTCCTGATTTTTTTTTTTTGTATCTGGTACTGAAGCTTGAATTTAGGTCCTGTCATTCATTTGGTTGAGCATACCTCCACTTCCATATTTTTAACTGAAGAGTTTTGAGTATTTGTCTGCCCAGACTGGCTTCAAATATGATCTCAGATCTGATTCTCAGAGCTTAGCTTCCTGAGTAGCTAGAATTATAGGCATAAGCCACTCCATCCAGCTAATTCCTTATTTTTTGTATGTTCCTTGTAAAGGTATTAATGAATCTAGTGAAGCTGGCCATGGTAGCACATTCCTGTGAGGTAGAAGAGGATGGATAGTTTAAAAATACCTCTTAAAAAAAACAAAAACTTAGCCTGGCGCTGGTGGCTCAGGCCTGTAATCCTATCTAGTCAGGAGGCTGAGATCCAAGGATCAGGGTTCAAAGCCAGCCTGGGCAGGAAACTCCCTGAGACTCTTAACTCCAATAAATCACTCAGAAAACTGGAAGTGGCACTATGGATCAAGTGGTAGAGAGCTCACCTTGAGCTGAAGAGCTGAAGGATACTGCCCAAGCCCAGAGTTCAAGATCTACAACACACACACACACACACACACACGCACGCACGCACGCACACACATACACACACACGCACACGCACACGCACACACACACAAAACCAAAAACACAAGAGCTGAGCCTGGTGCCAGTGGCTCACACCTATAATCCTAGCTACTCAGAAGGCTGTCATCTAAGGATCACAGTTCAAAAACAGCCTAGGCAGGAACGTCTATGAGACCTTTTTTCTTTTGTCGGTTGTGGGACCTGAACTCTAGGCCCTTAACTCCTCAGCTCAGGGCTAGCACTCTACCACAGCACCACTTCCAGCTTTTTCTGTTTTGTGGTGCTGAAGAATTGAACCCAGGACCTCATGCATGCAAGGCAAGCACTCCACCACTGAGCCACCTTCCCAGCCCCTCTGAGAGACTCTTATCTCCAATTAACCACCAGAAAATTGGGAGTGGTGCTGTGGATCAAGTGGTAGAGCACTAGCCTAGAACTCAGGGACAGGGGCCCAGGCCCAGAGTTCAAGCCCCATGACCAACCAAAAAACAAAAAAAAAGACAAGGGCTGAAGATGTAGTGAACACTTGCCTAGCATATGACTTTATTTCTTTCCTAGCATTAAGGGGGAAAAAAAAACTAGCCTTGTTATCACACTGCAAATACTGCTTAAGCTTTGATCCTCTATTAGAAGTGGCTCTTATGTTTATGTAATAAAACAGTGTCACTTAGTTATTATTAAGGGTTTCTTCATCTGGTATCAGTCCTCAAATTCTGTATTTTTCTGGTGCTTTCTTTTGGTTTTAATATTAACACTATTTGAAATTTATTCTGTGTTATATAGGGTGCTGAGCCCTAACACAATTGAGCCTCCTCCCCTAACAAAAATGCTTCCATTCACAAACACAGTGGTTCTCTCTGCTATCCTGTTAGTTCTAAGGAAAAAAACCCAAATTCCAAGTCATCAAAAGCTCTCCCCTAGATTATCCTCCCCAGTAATCTCCCTTGCACCTATCCTTGTTTCCCATTAAGTTTTGGGTTGTTTGGTAGATAGGGTCTGGCTTTGTACTTCAGGCGGGCCTTGAAATAACAATCCTCTTAGCTCAACCCCCAAGTGCTGTTCCCCATTTTCAAAGAACAACTACAGTAGCATACATTTGTATGCATAATGTTATGTGTATATGTAAGTTGTTGTTTCCTGCTTATAAATGTCCAATAGCTTCCTGCTGAAAATAGAATACTGATCCTCTACAATGATTTACAATATCCCATGGGTCCAGCTGTCACATACCCACTGAACCTCAGCCACACTGGCCTTTTCCACCCTCTATAGCATAACCAAGTTAATTTTTCCACCATCTCTTTTGCACTTGTTTCCTTCACCTAAAAACAAAACAACAAACACTATTGAGATGATTACCATTTGGATAATGACATTTTCTCAGGCCTTCCCAGACTGTGACACCATCTCATTTAAAGTAGCCCCATGGTGGAGGTGGAATGTGAGTGAAGGAAGTGAGTTTGAACAAGGTACATTGTATGCACATATAGTTATGTCAAAATGTAATCCTCTTGTACAATACATTGATGTTTTAAAGAAACAGGAAAGTAAAACATGAACCGTTCCACCCTAGTTATGTTCCATAACATTACCTCCTTTCATTTTATTCAAGGCATTTGTCATTAACTGTTTTATTCATTTAACCTTGTATATTGTCTGTCTTTTCTTCCCTTGCCCACGAGTGCTCTAAGAGGCAGTCTTTTGTCTGGGTTGTTGAGCTGTGTATCTATTTATCCCCCATCGCCTACTGTGTTGTCACATAGCAGGTATTCAACGAATATATGGAGGAGGAGGAGGGTAAAAACCTGAGGTTGGCATCCTAATGAAACTTGTAAAGGGCTCCAAGGACTCAACTCGTTGAATGTCGGTTATTCTAAAAGAAAAGACTCGGTAACCCTCTCTCTGCCCTAGACAAACCCTGGGCAGGGAGCTAAGCTTGCTTAAATCCTTTTAATTTAAACTCTGGCAACCCTGAAGCTAGACCTCGCAAGGCCTCGGCGCCACCAATCCAATCCTCTCGGCAGGTCACCCATAAGCAGTGAGAACAGCCACATTTCCCAAGACACGGCCGGGAAGCAACAGCAGCGAGGCGGCACAGCTTACCAGCTCATCTGGACTCAGAACTCCGAACTGCACTCTCTTGATGGTGCGCAGCGGGCATGCGCTGTCCCCGGAGGGGGGGCCACCCCCGTGCATGGCGAGGCGGGCGCGGTGCGCAGGCGCAAACCTCGCTACAAAAAGCCTGCGCCACCTCCGCCTAGGTACTCAGATCCCGTCGGGGCGGCCAGCGGGAAGGACCTCCCCGAGTAGGGAGGAAAAGGCTGGAGGAGGGAAGGGGAGGGGGAAGGGAAGGAGGCGGAGAAACGAAAAGGAGCGAAAGGAACCGTTCTATCCCTTCGCGAAGGTTTTTCAGCTCCCAAAAAGGAAAAAGAAAAAAAAAAGCGGGGAAAGGAGGAGGTTTTGGGGGGGAAGGAGGAAGAGGAAAAGGAGTAACGAATAAATAAGTAACCGGGCTCCTGAACGGCAGAGGTTACGGCAGTTTGTCTCTCCCCCTTCCGGGAGCCACCTTCTTCTCCAACCGTCCCGGCCGCGCTCTCGGCGCTTCTGAGAAGCGAACTGGCCGAATGACGCCTTTTATAGACTCGCCCCTGCCTTTTCCCCCGCCCCTTCCTTTCCCGCCCTCCCTTGCGCTACGGGGCCGACTGCGCCGGCCTGCACGGGGCGCGCGCTGGAGCGGTTGGTCCTTCCTCCCGGGCTCCCTTGCTTGGGTGAGCTTTTGAAATGACTGGAGGGGTGTTCTCCTAATCCCACCTCTTCCTCTCGCCAGCCCCCCCGCTTAGCACTGCCATTGACCGTTTGAAAAATCAAGGATAAAGTTAGGCCGCCTTTATTCTATTTCGGAGTAAAGTATCATCTTTAGCCAAAAAAAAATAAAATCATTATTCCCCCCCTCCAGGTAGAAAATGGTCTGTTCTGCGAGTCGGTGGTGGAGGCGGGGCCGGTCGGGTCCTCTCGAGTCGATCCTGGCGGGGGGGGGGGAGCTGGAGAGGGGAGGGGGAGGAGCGCCGTTGGTCATGAATATTCAGTTTCAACGCTGAATATGTATGAGCAGATCAAGATGGCGAATCCAACTGCTGGTCCGGAAGTAGCCGCTGTTTGTCGAGCGACCTCCGGGGGATAAGTGGACGTCTTCTGGACTTTACTGGAGTGCTTGTACCGAGTCTTGGACCCAGATCCCCCCAGCCTGAGACGCTCCAAGAAGCCTCAGCTCGAAAGCTTGCTTTTTGGAAGGACTGGCTGCTGTCCGAGAGAGATCACGGGACTGCTACTGGGGGGGGAGGGGAGGGGGGAGGGCGCGGGGGGGGGAGGACAGAATAACCACGGGGCGAGATATGAAAGCCCTAGGAACGTTAAGGGCCAAGGAATTCGAACATTTAGGAAATCCTCCACTTCTGGAATATATTAGAAACAAACTGGGAGGCGGGGATCCCAAGGGATTCTCCAATAAGAGCGATGTAGAACTTCACACCCGCTCCATAGCCAAATACCCAGTGATCCTTGTTTGATGTTAGTGTCACGTCACCACCCCAAGGGGGGGGGTGGGCACTACGAAGAGGGAAGGAAACTGTCCTCCAGGGGGAACAGCAACACTCCCCTCCCCCCAGCAGCTGCTGCCTATTTGCCTGACCACCTGCACACTCCAGCCCATTGCTCTTTCTGCTGCCCAGGGAAATTCTCCCCATGGCCCATAGCTAGCCTGCCTCAACCCCTTGTATCTAAAAGTACGCCTTAGTTATGTCCTGATTCCCAAGGCCCGGGTGAGGTCCCTTGGATCTCATACTTGTTTTCGATCTTCCAGGTTTCCCCCCTCCACCAAGTCCCCAGTCACGCTTGAATCCCCATATCAGTTCTTTTCCAGGCACTTGTTCTCCCATGTTTGTATTCGTCTCTGCTATTTACCCCTGCCCCCCCAAAGTCCCCAGACACTCAAGTTCGATCTCACTCTTCCACCTGCCCTTGCTTCTCACAGCTGAGGTTCTGGGCGGTGATGATGGCAATGCTACCCAACACAACTCCTGCTCCCATGATGTCAGAAGGTGCCACCGTCTCATAGAGCACGTAATACTGCAGCATGAGGGCAACCACCACCTCAGAGTGCAGGACAGCGCACACCAGAGCAGGGTGGGCCTTGGTGACTGCATAGCTCACACACACAAAGGACACCAAGGCAAGGATCCCTACTGCCCCCACACAGCTCCAACTCAGAGGATCATTAGGTAGCACGGGTGTCTGCAGCACAAACAGTCCTGGCACACAGCCAATTAACCCCACCAAGCCAAATAAGAAGGCCACTGTGGGTAGGCAGGAGGGGAAGTGCAGGGAGCGGTAGACCAGAAGCCCCAGTGACAAGGCCAGGCCTCCCAGGAAAGCCAGCACATAGCCCAGGGCTGTGTAAAGGCCCGTGGTCCCCTCCTGCAATGTCCCTAGTCCAGGTCCCACGATAATGATCAGTCCCAAGGTGCTGCCTAACAGGCCACACCAGTCATAGCCGCTGAGACCCTGGCTCTCGAGGCAGAGTGCGAGGAGGGCAGAGCACACGGTGGAAGAACCTTTTCGAACTGTGGCAGCGTTTCCTGCAGGTACCACCTGAACTGCACTGTAGGCACATCCGATGCTGAGGACATTGAGCAGAGCGTGGAGGAAGGCCCGCCCCCGGAAATCAGGAGGTCCTAGGAGAGGGTCACCACGAAGCTTAAGTAGCAGGGCAATGGGAAGGTGGAAGAGGCATCTACAGATGAGTAGCTCCAGTGAGGGCAAGTGGGAAGCCTGGTAAGCCATACGGGAGAAAGGACCCACAAAGCCAGCAGGCAGGCCCCCACCAAGCAGGGCTACAAGTAGGCCCTTGGTGGCATCGGAGGGCCGGCAGCGCTGGTTCGAAGGGAGGCCAGGCGGACTGGAGGATGGTGATGGCTGGGTGAAGTCAGGCAGGTTGAAGTAGGGGTGACTGCCAGCCTGTTAAGGAGAAAGGAACTCAAACACGAGAACACCTACAGTCTGGCGGATTTAGGGCAGCTTAAATGCTAGATTGATCTGAAATTCTGTCTGTAGGATAGTAGAGGAACTTGTAGGAGCTCGAAAGGGTCTGAAAAATAGATTATGTGGTACAATGTAAGCCTTAAGCATCTAGGGGGAAGCAGGGAGTAAACAGTCCCAGAGCATCATGTTTTTCTGGGCAGGTTGTTCCTGAGAGGGAAAAAACAATAACCGAGGAATGTTCTGTTGGCAAGTGGGGGACAGCTTCCCATGTTGTATATCTCTGTGATATCACAAGCTCTAGGGACTTCTGGGTGTTGCATTTGTGGGTATGTCTAAGACCACTGGGGAGTTTTAGGGGAGAAGGGGAAAGAGGATGACCAGGATCAGTGTTGCCCTTGCTATATCCTCTGTTCCCCCCCTACTCACCATCTTTCCTTGGACTTCCTCTCTCCTCCTGGCTCGGGGGCCTGAGCCCCTCAGAGCTCCAGCCATTGTGACCTGGTTGGAGTGGGGGTGGAGTTCTTTCCCTGGAACCTTCCTGAGGGGGGGTGGGCCTGTTTTCTCATTAATTCCAACTCTGTGTGTTTTATATCTGTCCCTCTGTCTGATTCCTTTTTCTCATTTCTCTTTATAACTAGCTTAATGATGAGGCTTCTTTGGACTTAGTTTTGTCTCATCTTATTTCATAAAGGGTTTTTTTTTGTTTGTTTGTTTTTGCTAGTCCTGGGACTTGAACAGGGCCTAGATGCTGTCCTTGAACTTTTTTGCTCAAGGCTAGCTAGCACTCTACCACTTCAGTCACAGCTGCACTTTTGGCTTTTTGCTGATTAATTGGAGATAGAGACTCACAGACTTTCCTGCCTGGACTGGCCTCAAACCCAGATCCTCAGCTCTTAGCTTCTTAAGTAGCTAGGATTACAAGTGTGACCCACCAGCACCTGTCATACTTTTTAGGAGAGTAGTTCTGAGGAGCTAGCTCCTAAGTTTTTGTTTGTTTGTTCTGTTTTTGTTTATGTGGTACTGAGGAATCTAACCTAGGGCTTCATGCATGCTAAGCAAGCACTCTACCACTAAGCCACATTCCCAGCCCCATCCTGAATTTTTTAAAGTTTTCCAGAGTTGGAGAGGAGTTCTGAGATCTCCTCTCTGGAATTTCAGGAAGGTTTCGGGGTCTATTTCCACTCGGTGTTTTGCTGGTGCAAATAAGCCACAGCAAAACATCTGTATTTATGTACAAATATGTGGATGTGGCTATTTCTGTTGGTGGAGGCAAAGTGCTCAGCTGCATGTTTATCTGATCTGGTTGTCATAGATATGTGCTTCACTATGTAGGGTTAAGGTCTTCTAGCCTGTGGGCCCAGTGACATTCCCCACACATTCCTCTGTGTGTATGTGTACACGCGCGCCCAAGGAAGCCCCATGAACGTGCTGACCCGGGTTCTGTGGGTCTCACGGGCCCCACCGTGTATCTGCGACCCCAGAGGATGGGTTGTGTGTGCTCATTCTGCGCGTGTGTCACTGCAGAATGAAGGGCGCGTGGAGAAAGGGCAGGCAGGGGGTGTCCTTCCCAGAGCGGGTAGTCGTGCGCCCCTCGGGGGTACTGCAGCCTAGCCTGCCCCCCGCGCGGTGTCCACCCTATCCGTGGGCCTGCGCCTCGCGGTTCCCTGCGTGGGATCGGCCTGGCGGAGGCCATCGGATGCTGGAGCCTGGTGCCGCCGGTGCCGGCTGCGCGCTGCGCCGGCCTCGTCTCGGCGGCGGTGGTGGCGCTGGGGGG